AGTGACTCAAGTAAATGTATGAGGTCATAATACATTATGTCATTGTAATGGTGGTGACAGGACTGCCCTACACTCAGTGTATGTACCGCGATGATTTGGGACAGTTATGAGCTATTTATGAGCTATTTCAAGTGATAAATACAAAAATGTTGGTGATAAAATAATGTCTCCTATATTTATTTCATTGTTGTCACCTCTTGTCCGGGTTTTACATGGTTTTACAGCGCCTCTTTCCGCAAATTAAATGTAAAGATAAATCGAAACAAATTTATATCTGTTATGGCAATGCACAGACGTTCCACGGTTGCCAGAGTAGTTGCATATATAAACCCCAAAATTGGGATTTTCTGAAAACTGAACTGAACTCATCGAGCCTTAAGTTCAACCACCTGAGTGCTCACATGCCCCGGGTCAGACTACTTTACCTACAGACAAATTTTTATTGACCTTGAGTCAAAAAGAGTAATGACACATTCCTTCTTTTTGGATTTTCTTTAGGGTGAGTGTCTTGCTGCTGGTTCACATGCATCTCCAGCTCCTAAAGTCTACAGTAGAAAGATGAAGGCTCAAGCCATTAACCATCTCGTCAGAGATTTGCAGGTATGTCATGAAATGGTTCAATGTAGAACTGAAATGTAACCTCACCAATAATTTCGTAATTGACTAACTGAATTTTATATATGCGCTAAGTAGTTGTAATTTGTGATTGAAGTGGGAAGGACAAAGGTTTTTTTATGTCATTGTTGACCTGGCTGAATTTGGTGACGCACTTCAAGGCACTTGGTCCTCAGACTCTCACAAACTTTTCACCTGTATTTAAAGAACTGTCTACAACATGGACGTTGGATGTGTCAAAAGAAACCCCAAGAGTGAAAGACTGACTCTTGAGGTAAAAAGTTTCTGCAGTGTTAATGTTTCATAATTAGCAGGACTGCCTCTTTTGTGAACATTGTTATGTTTATATAATGGAGAGAAGATCTTGTTTCCAACAGTCAGACATGCTCCTCTCATTTTTGGAGATGAACATGCCTGAATTCCATTCAAAACAAGATCTTGATTCATCCATTGACTGTTTGCAGTGAAAAATCAACTTTAAAAAAATAAATGACAGTCATTGTGACCAACTGTTGAGGGCACAGAGAATTCCTGCTGTCAGTTGGATTTTGCAAAAATAGTATTGTGTCATATGACTTGTACTAAAACAATGCACATCATATAACCAACACAATTTAAACAAGTTAAGTTGAAATGGAATTTTGTGGTGGTTTTCATTATTTTACATTTGTAAAAGGGATTATGAACTAGAATGACCACAGCATTTACACTGTATTTAGTGATTAAAGAGTTACTATTGAACAGTGTAGCATGAAGAACACTCTACACTATTTCTACTTCATAAAGTGTTAAAACATAGCAGTATATAGAGTTAATAGTTTTTCACTATACACTAGTGTAAAAAAAATCTGATCTTAATCAGTGTCAAATTCAACTATGAGGAGTGTGGTTACATCACTTTACCAGCGTTGAGCCTTCTGCACTTTGGAAAGTGTTGTTTTAACTCATTTTATTGTGGACCCCATATGGCATGGTAAAAGTGTTAAAATTAACAATATACGAGTTAAATTAACACTCTTGAATTTGCTGTGTACAGTTTGGTTACTCAGAAAAAAAATCAGTAATTATGTTTCATCGTATTATGAATAATATACTAAGCCTAACCTAGAATGTTGACATAAAATTTCTATGAAACATTAATCTTTTCATGGTATTACTTTGGAAACAAGGCAGCCTCAAACTGCATTTAACTCTCTATCCATGGGCTTCATGATAAAAGTCAGTGCGGTTGCCATAGCGTTTAACGATCTTTTTAATGGGTAAAAGTCCTCAAAATGTTGCCTGCAACAGGAGGCTGAAACCGTTGAATAGCAAAGTTACCACGCAATTTCCACCACTACACACTATGACTTATTATGTATGAGGCGTTGCTGTATTGACAATGCCAGTATCTTTTCCACACAGGATGCTCTGGTGGAACACATAGACTGTCTTTGTGCTGATGACAGGTCCAGATGTAGTCTGACCAGGCTCTGACCCTCTGCTCTCCTCTGTGTTCCTGTTATGCTCAGTTAGAGAAAAATGGCTGAAAATTATACCACTGATACAACATAACAGGAAGAATGGAAATGGTTGAAAACAGCATGGTGACAATAAATGATGTTAACATGCAGAATTTAACATTTAACAGGCTAACCCATTTAGAGAGAAGGGACATTTTACATTTTTTACATTAAATAATTGTGTTCTTTAAAGGACCCATATTCCACTATTTTCTGATCTTTGTTATAAAGTTGTTTCCTCTTTAAAAATATACTCAGGGTTGTGTCATTTACATGTTTAACACACAAACCATGTATATTTAAGCTGAGTTCTTCTCTCAGATGGAAAACACTGTGTTCCACCTTGTGATGTCATGTATTAATATAGGACATGCCCCATTGTGTTTATGAATTCCATACACTTTCACTACATTAATTGGGATAATTTCAGCCTTGGAATTGCAAATCTCTACTGTACAAAAAATAAAAGGTCACTGTTAATTTAAAAATTACTGCTTGATGGCATCTCAAGGTAGAACAGGGGTTTTTGACCTTTGAAGATGTAGACAGACTAATAATAAAGGGTTACTCAAACGTGTGAATGAAACAGAAGGCAGCTTCAGGTATGTTTTTGATGAGGTCACAACATTCTGACATCACAAAGTCACAATATAGGACCATTTTAAACATGTAACATTTTTGGTGGCCTGTCCGCAACCTGAACATTCTAGGTAAAGGAATAACATAGTATGACATTCTACTTCTCCATCTTGTGACAATAGTGTTAGAGTTAGACATGCATGTGTATTGGCTTACAAGGTCTGTAACAGCTTAATTACAATTGTCATTCAGATTGTCCTTAATAACCCTCCTTGTTCCCCATGCCCATGTTTATGCAGTCAGACCTGTCAATTAAAGATTTTTCTTCTTTGGACAAACTTCTCTAGTTTACCTCCATCTGTTTTGTCCATCAGGTTGTCTTCTTCTACAGCTAAGGACTATGTAAGTTATCTCCTCCCAGGGACACCATAAGGCCCTTGTTTTGACAGTAGCTCAGTGCATTGACCCACTGAGCTAACATCTCAGCCACTAGATAAACAAAAAAGCATGGGCACAAGTATTCACCATGACATGAGTAAACATAAGCTGGTGGGGTCTGGAGTCAGCAGATTTTAAAGAGTTTGATCTTCACCGGACGGAAAAAAACTTGTTTCTAAAGTGTTAGCCTCCTACTGTTTGGGTGGTGTAGTTTCCATGCAGTTGTTGTACACTTACAGAAGCCAGGTCCACTTAGACATAAGAAGGAACTAAGTTTTGAACCTTTACTGTTATGAAAAACGTTGTCTCTCTCCCAATATTTTACTTGTAACTTGACAAGTGGCACCATCTGCTTATTTCTGGATAAGTATTTTTAATGTAGAAAATTTGTTTAATGTAAAAATTCCAAGGAAAAGCATCTCCATGGAGACAAGCACCTTTACGTTTTGGTCAAACACTTGAGGAGACGATCTTAGTATAGAATAGAAGATGTGCAGCAGGTTTGTATATAATTATTATATTTAAATACTGGGCTAATAAATTGTGAGACGACAGATGCTATCTTGACTTATGACCTTGTCGATGTGGCTGGGGTCACATAGGCACTTTCTCCTCGATACGTCACCATATGTCACTCACTGACGGGAGCTTTGGGTAGAGCATCCACAGCATCTTTTTGTAAATGAGGACGCCTCTGCTCCAGCTCTCTGCAGACAGCAGGGGCCTGGTGATTCCAGAGCACCAAGCTGTCATCCCATACATCAACAGGGACAAAGGACTCAGATGAGGTAAATAACCCAAAACATCTTACAGGCTTTTATCCGGGAGTCTACATATCAGTTGTTTACAGTACAAGAATATAGGCTAATTGAGGGTAGTCATTTTTAATTGGGTGTTTGTCGCCATCTACTGGTGGATTGTTAAAACTACAGTAGCTCATGCGTACAGATAAGACCACCAGATGTCACATAAGAGCAGTTTTCCACCAATTTCAACACGTCATTTCCATGGACATCTTGCGTGCATTTTAATAAGGTGTGTGTCGCCATCTACCGTTGGATTGATAAAACTAAAGGACCCTGTCTGCAAATGCAGTTCAGACCACCAGGTGTCACTTTAGAACATAGTTTCTTTTTCTCTCATTGCCTGCATATGCCTTAAAATACATATACTTGTAAATCAACGTCCAGCCATTGCGAAAGTCTGTTGTGCTGCGGCTTCCCTTCAATGTGAAGCTCACACAGGACCCCTCTAACTATTCATATTCAAATACTGTCATCTTTCTCCATAGAGTTAGAAAGTTTTAAAAAAATACATTCATGGACTTACTAATACAAACAGCTCTTACATAGGTATAACCTTTGGGGGCCTCTGCACTTTGGGAAACCACTGTTGTAAACAACTGAAAATGGGGTGCAAATGTAGTTAGGTGTATGAATGGACCCTAGCTCACGTCACTAGACACAGCCATGCAAAGTATGTTTTTGGGGAGGAGCACTAGCTAATTTTTTTGAGTGTCCCCCTATTGCAGTAACAAATTTGTAGCCAAATTACTTTAATCAGAAAATTTGCACTTAGATGTTTGGGTGAGGAAAGATTCACAGTTCAGGACTAACATTTAAACAATGTTTTCTTTATTCAACAGTGAGAAATCTACATTTAAGTCATCTCACACCTAGAATTTCTGGAACTGTTTCTTGGCTCCAGCAGCCTTTGTGACTTTGAGGACGTTGAACCTGACAGTCTTGCTGAGTGGTCGGCACTCTCCAACGGTAACGATGTCTCCGACTGTGACGTCCCTGTGGAGAGAAAAAGCTGTGAGAACAGGCACAAAACTACGACATTATCTAACTATAACATGCATTATAACATGCATCAGCAATGCCATTAGGCACTGTCGTCAGAGCCTGAGCTTGGAAGACCATCGTGAGAATAAACATCATATGCAAACACAAAGCCATGTGTGTGAAAGGCTATTTTGATTAGTAAAGAATAGATAATTACCTGAAGCAGGGCGAGAGGTGGACCGAGAGGTTCTTGTGCCTCTTCTCAAAGCGGTTGTACTTGCGGATGTAATGCAGATAGTCGCGTCTGATCACAATGGTCCGCTGCATCTTCATTTTGGTCACCACGCCTGATTGACAACCAAAGAATAATCAGTCACAGTACTCAAGTTCTTAATACTCAGGTAGAGTCATAATACTACATCAGCATCGCCTTTAGGCATTGTCGTCAAAACCTGTGGGCTTGGAAGACCATCGTGAGAAAATACATCATTTGTAGTGATAATTAAAGCTTCCAGATTCTGTCTTTACTAAACTTAAACTGTACATTTAATGTGACATTCATTGGACTGACTCACCTGAGAGGATACGGCCACGAATGGAGACGTTTCCAGTGAAGGGGCATTTCTTGTCAATATAAGTGCCGTCAATAGCCTGAAAGCAATAAAGATAAACTTAACAGCAAGCTTATAATGGCCTACAGATTTACACCATAAACGTTCAAAATGTATTTCTAATGCATCAGTGCTGCCATAAGGCCTTGTCGTCACAACCCTACAGGCTTGGAAGACCATCGTGAGAAAAACATCACTTGCATAAAATAGATGCAATATTAATTAATTCATTACCTCTCTTGGGGTTTTGAAGCCCAACCCGACACTCTTGTGGTAACGGGGGAGCTTTTCTTTGCCCTCCTTGCCACCATCAACAGCCAGAACACGCTTCTTGTTCTGGAAGATGGTGGGCTGTTTCTGATAAGCCCTCTCGGTCTATGGGAGAATGAACAAGTTTATTAGACAAGCACATACTTCCCATTTACATGATACACTGACAGCGGAATCTAGAAGGCTCAATCTTTACAAACACTCAAAGCTTAGTAACTGTGAAATTCATGATTAAACTGTCATCTATTGATTAACTCAAAAGGCCAAACCCTATTGTCACGTCACTATAAGTGGGGGGAAAAATATTAAAACTATCAAGCAAGTGCTTAGGCTAACTTGCTAGCACTGTTGCTAAATGAGCGTAGCACGAGGGTGAGCCGACTAGAAGCAGTCAACTCTTTTCGAGGCTTGTGAACGACTAAAAACACAGCCACGACATGGAAAAGCGCCTTATATAGACGTGTTGCTGTTACGAGTGCAAATAAATGCTTTGAAATAGTTAGATTTGTCCATTAAAAGCCCCACGCCGTTTCCCCACACGTACTTGTGCATCCGCCATCTTTGCAAGCCGAGTCAAAAGAGGCCTGAGGATGCGCGAGGCGGACGAAAGACGGCGAGGAAAGGAAGTGACGATTATACAAGATCCAAAATACGAAAAACATGAACACATTTGCATTTTTTGATAAGTATCCATGAAAAAAAGACAAGGCATGAGGTAAATTACCATAATACAATAATTCATTTTTCATCAGACATTCGCGAGTAAAAAAGGTCATAAAAATACATAGGCTTACACGATAATAAAATGCAACTACGGCTATATGTTGTCGTTATTTGTCCAAGAGATGGGCAATCAAGATTATTTAAAAGTTTGAATAAAGATAAAGCTTGACCAAGAACAACAAAACATGTCACGTGACTGTGCGGAAATTTGCCAAACACAGAGGCAAGATGGCATCGCACTCGGGAGGAGGCGATCAAGGTACGAGTTTATTTATTTTAAAAAAATGTTTAAGTAATCTATAATGTCAGAATATGTACGGATGTCATCGTATGAAGTATTTTTTGACACATCACGTGAAATGAATTGAGATCATAAAGTATGTTTTGTTAGGACTTCACATTAGTTGAACAGAGGCTAGCGACAAACAAGGAAAGTTAGCTACTCTGCTAACATGGTGGCTGTAGGCAGGCAGCTCTGCATTTCTCAAGTTTACTTTAAAAAGACAATAATTCTACAAGATATTTAAAGAAACATCGGTATTATTTAAGAGAATCCTTAACAGCGAGTGTATAGGAATACTCAACTCAAATTATAATCATCATATTGTTTCAACATTAGTAATTATTATGTAATTTTGAAGTTCACAACAGAAGGTATTATTTTAACATACATTTGTACATGTTATACATAATTACCTTGGCAATTCCTTATGCATTAGATGTTATCTGTAATCTAGTGTATTTGGTGTGAATGGTATTTTATGATCAACATTAAAATTTGTCATTTATTTTGAAGGTAAAAATGAGATTCTGGAAGTTGGAGCTGTTTTGTTAAAAGAGTGAGTACTGTGGGTTATACACATTATTCAACAATGTAAACAATTCAGTTGACAATTAACCAAATAAAATCTTGTGTTTAAATATTTATTTATTTCTAGTTTCATATATGAGCGAGTCAGAAGGCATGGTGAAGGCAACGCTGTGGTTACCAGGGAACAGTTGGGAGCGCGAGAACTGTGCGACCCAAAGCACAAAAAACTTGCCCAGTGTCTCCAGCAGATCGGTGATGAACTGGATGGAAATATGGAACTCCAAAGGTAACCTGAAATAAGTATTTGACTAGGGCCATGTAATTAGCCAAATTTTAATCAAGATTGAGATTCAGTCACTTCTAATTGTCAATGATATGCTTGGGGTCAATTAATCAAGAGGTCTACAACCAATTAGTAATAGCACATGGAGATAAGAAATTTGACATGATTTGTGATTTTATGATTCTCTATTTTTTATGTTTAGAAAATGAATATTGAAAACTATTTGGCTAGTGTTTAATGTAATAAAATAAAATAAATGGAGATTGTTCAAATTATTGGAAAAAAAAAACATGATTTGTCTTGCATATTGCCCCACGCTTATTTGACTTGGCAGCAAGAAACGTTTTGTTTCAAATAAATGTTCTATCCTTTTACCTCTAGGATGATATCAGACTCGTCACTAAGTCCAACAAAGGACATTTTTATGAAAGTTGCCATTGAGATATTTTCAGATGGAAAATTCAACTGGGGAAGAGTAGTTGCATTATTCTACTTTGCTTGTCGACTTGTTATTAAAGTAAGTGTCCTACCATTGCTATAACTAATAATAAAAACATCTAAATGAAAGATCTCTAACATACTTTATATTGCAGGCTCTTCTGACTCATGTTCCTGACATCATTAGAACAATTATCAGCTGGACCCTGGACTACCTCCGTGAACATGTGATCAACTGGATCAGAGACCAGGGTGGCTGGGTAATAGGCAAAAATGTATAAAAGATTTTTGACAAATAATGTTATCTAGTACTAACTCTTGGTTTCTTTTACTTATATTTTTGTAAAGGAAGGAATTCGTTCTCATTTTGGCACCCCCACATGGCAAACGGTCGGTGTATTCCTGGCTGGAGTTCTCACCACTGTTCTTGTAATTCGTAAAATGTGAAGAGTTGGACAAACGGATAAAGGATTGAAAAATAATAAAAAGTTGGCCAGGACAAGAGAAATCAGAGCAAATAATAAGAAGCTATAGCATGGCATGAGCTTCACTCTTTTCTCCTGCCTCGGGGTTGTTAGAGATCAAGAGTTGGACTGGACGGTTGTGGCATACTTCTGAATGCCGTTAATGAATTAAGCAGTGCATGAATCACTGCAGACTGCAACAGTGGGAGGTTGGCTGATGGGAATGGAAAATACATTTTTTTAGTAATTTATTTTTTATGGTATAAAAATAGGAATTGTCACTGCAGACTGTTTTCTTGTAGAATGATATAAGGCAGGTTGAATGAAATCAGTTTCAGTCTCTTCACAATATATTCTCATTTGAATCTTTTGAATTTGAATCCTTTGATTCAGTTTGTTGTTCTCAACTTCCTCCTTATCATGGTGTCTGTATGCGTCCTCATGCGTTTGTGTTTACTGGTGTAAACCAACACCAAGTGATGTGGTTGGAAAAGATGATATACAGAAAATATATTGCAAAAACTGCCCATATCAAAAATCAAGTAATTTTCTACTGTCACTGCATGTATTGGAAGTTTTTAAGCCCGTAATATGGATTAATATGGAATATGTTCTATATGTAAACTGAAATTCTTCCCTTGTCTTTGTTATGTGGTCATGCATCGTGGCCTAAATGTTTAGATTTTACAAGAATTCTGCCTGTATGTTTTTGCTTTGTCATACAGAGCAACGAGAGTTATTTCCTGTTGGAAACCAGGCAGTTGCTCTGTAAAGAAAGTGCACTGGATTGCTCACAGATGCTTACCTCACCTTTTATAAGTACTGTATAATGTGGGCTATTCAAACAATCATTCAAGCAAAATACCTTTGATATTATTTGGTTGTCAGTTGTCAGTGCCTTCATGTGTTTTTTTTACTCAAACTTTGATATTTCAGATTTTTCACATTTTCTATCACATTTGTAATGATTAAGATTTTCTCCCTGAAATCCCTTTGCAGTGACCTTGTATGTTGCAAAATGGAAAATAAAAGCTTTAATAATTATTGTAAAAGTCATGAAATATAACAAATCTGTTATTTTAATTTTGAGTGACAATTAGGGAAAATGTCTGGCCTTGAAACATTTTAATTGGTTTGCTACAAAATTGTGAATTAATTCTACAAATAAATGTTTAATTCTAAATGACAATGCAATGCTACATTATACATTATACCAATACAAGGAAAAGTTGACAACCACATAGTTTAAACCACATTTATTCAGTATGTAAAAAAAATGACGACGGTAAAAAAAACATTCAGAAGTTAAAAAGGCAATGGTTATAAGGCTTGGGAAAAAGTAAGGGACTTCAGACACATTCAAATGGTTCTTTATCTGGTCTCAAGAACGCCATCTTTGACCCTCCATCTCCAGGTGGGACTGAAGTCAGGTGCAGAGACACAGCAGAGCTCAAGTCCAGACTCCAGCACCTCCTCAGCATGACCAATCTGTTGACCTGTGTGTGTCTCCAAGGTAAAAACCCTCTCGGAAATCTAAAAGAGAAAACATTGATATTGTCTCTGCTTTCCGTGTACACAATATTTAAAGGTGCGCTATGTAACTTTTCTGTATCCGTCACTTGTTTTTTACTTAAGGAAATTACTTGGACATAGCTCACACATTACAGTATAATAAAAAGCATAAAACAGATTGTAATACAATTCAAGTTACAAAAAAGAAGTAGCAAAAATAGCAGAAGACCTTATTGTAAGTACGACTTGTAAGTAAGTCTCCATGAAAACAAGCAGGTGACTTTGCAAGAGCAAGTTAAAGTCATCTGTGGAGACACTACCCCTCTTTGAGTATAAGAGCATAACCCCAATTTGAGAAATTAATAAACATGCAATTAAATAAAGATGATATAAGTACGGCAAATATAATAATGCCATAGGAGGGGAAGCACTAACATTTACATGTGCACAAGCAGAAGGGAATCAGGAAAGTAACAGAGTACATCTTGAATTATATACACTTGTAAGACCAGACCTGATCACTGATGCCTGTGGCGATGTGTCCCACTGTCACACGCCGGGCTTCTCTGATCCGGATACTTCTCTGACTGATATCTTTGATACACACATCTACTCCTAATCACACAGACACAAAACAAGTCAATACAACGTTTAAGTGTTAAAATACTACAAAATAGAGCTATATTAATCTTGCCTTCGAAACAAGAGGGTGGTGGGAATTGTGACGGGCCAAGAAAGTCCATGCTGAACACCTGTCCATCTGGTTGGCTGTTGCAGGAGAAAACACCGGAGCTGAAGTCATCTCCTGGACTGAGGGACCAGCGACCAGAGTCCTGTTAGGATGCAAATGTAAGAAAAACAATTGTAAGACTGTGCAAATTGTTAGGTCCTATATGACTCAAAATTGACTCTTGTGAGCTTTAAGTCCTTTTGGAATGCTGTTACCTCATCAAAAACATATCTAGAGTTGTGTGTTTTTTTTTCTTTCTTAGAATAATCCTGGTTTATTAGTCTGTCTGTATCCCCAAAGCTCAAGCTCTGGACGACCTTGTGATGTCATGCAGTGGTAGTATTCAAGTGAACAGCTCCCTTTTACATTTTGTTCAGTAGAGATTGACAGTTCCAGGGTTGAAATCATCCAAATGATTCTTGTGAAGGTGTATGGAGTTTCAAAATACAGTGGAGCACTTCCTGTATTACCACATTTTGTTTGAGAAAAGAACTCAGCCTAAATATGATACAATTGTGTGTTAAACGTGTGAATGAAACAAAACAGAACTCCAAGTATGTTTCAAAAACAGAGCGTAATATGGGCCTTTTAACCACATTCTGGCAGCTAAAATTAATAATATAATAATGCAAATATAGGTTGTAATTCAATGAGTTCTAGGGTCTAGTCAGTAATAAAAAAATAAAAACCCAGAAAAGAAAAGTTGCACAAAGCACCTTTAAATAAACCTATTACCTTTTTCTCCCACTGGTCTCTATTGGAGTAGTCGCTGCTGATACAAGACAATAACTGTTCCTGCATCTCTGCTGAATGGAGTTGTGATAGGCTGCTCAAGTAGAAATCTATCCAATAAACGTAAAGAAAACTCGTTATATCTCAAATTTAGGAACAATAAAGTCAAATTTTAACAATGTTGTTACCTCTTTCCAGTTTACGTAGCTCTAGCTCTGGCACAGTGGTGGTCTTGTTTCTTTCTTTCTGAATGTTTTCAATTAAGGGGACTTGAACACATGGTTCTGAGTCCAGGTCTAACTGATGAGACTTGAGATTGTCATCACCAATTCCTCTCTTTGGTTTATCCACACTCCACACTTTATCAAGTTTTGGGAGTTCCTCTGTTTCCTGAACACTGTTGCTTAAATAGTTGTCCGGTGGTTTGTTGACATTGTACAATGGTTCAATGTACGGTCCCTTGACGGAGCTGGTGAGTCCTCCCACTGCAATTAGAAAGCAACTTTTATTACTCTGGTTAACCTTAGAAAATGTTTTTTTACTGACAGAGAATTGGCTGTCGATTTCTTTAGAATAAAGACCCCAGCAGTCTAACAATTCATGGAATAGTGGTATAATAATAATGTTTTTATATTTCAAGGCAATATAAATTCACTTTCAGTCTCCATATTGACTTAACTTGATATAAGGAATCTTATATAGAAACATTAAGTCAAAATAATAGTTTTCAAATTAAATAACCTGAATTGTAGTATACATGTGGTGCAATTATCTGAATGTTCCTGGAGTTTTGATCTGCTAGTTGCCATACACACTAATGGCGATTGGTTGATTAAAATCCCCAAAAAACATCAAAATATTGCATTAGTTACCTTCTTGTAAAGCTCTGGCTGTTTTTATTTTCAGTTCAGACGCTGATGCTCTTTTCACTGGGTCCTTGTGTAGACCGGCTTTGAACACGTCAGTGGTGAGAGGGCTGCAGTCTGACGGGATCTCTCTCAAAGGTGGGGGCTCGTTTGCAATCTGAAAGAGTAAAATAATCCTTCATGAATTACCATTTATTTTATGTATTTTGTATTGTGTCCCGGTTTTAGTTCTGCTCTGAATGGGGAACTGTAATTATAGATTCTAAATCACATCATTATAATTAGGGATGTACCAATACAATACTGCTATAAGACAATGGTGTAGATACTGACATTTTTTAATGGATCGGATACTAGTTCCAAGATATCTGTTTTACCATTTCAATACCAAAATGGTAAATAGAAACTGGTGCTGGCTCAGAAGTATCAACATTGGTATCGGGAAAAAAAGAAGATCAGTGCATCCCTAATTACAATGGTCTACTTCATCACAATTTACTAGTTCATTTTTCATTCAGATTTTAAAAATGTTGCAGTTTGATTATTTGAAATCTTTCTCTTTTTTTCCAATTATGTTCACATTCAGTAGCACTGATGGTTATTCCGATTCTGACTGTTTTCCTGGATTACTTGTAGTCATGGTAGATTCTTTTTCCTGTAGTATTTGTTGTTTATGATGAGTCTATTTTAGTCATGACTTAACTTTATGCTTACCCCTTTTGTCCTATCCCTGTAAAATAATATTTATTTTAGTGCATTTTCATAACCACTGGTGTACAGTATATCTTACCTTGAGGTACAGTCTACAGTTGTAGTACCGAGTCCAAGGTTGGCACCCATTGAGCATGTGAAGAAACATACAGCAGCTGCTCCACACATCTGCTTTAGCTCCACGGAGTTCACCTTTCACCATTTCAGGGGCCATGTGCGTTTCTGTACCTTTCAATTCTAAAATACACAAATGGATTAATAGGATTATATAGGAAACATGAGACAATACTGGGTGACCACCTCAAATTATAGAAAAAGACATAGACATAGATGGATGAACTCAAACATTTAAAGCTGCACTGCGTAACATTTCTAGTGGACGATTCACCACCTGCTTGTCTCCATTGCAATGTTATTGATTTGTTCTGCAGTATAGATTAAACCTATCTACCACGCTACATTACAATTCAGATCTGTGGAGAGTTGTCACCCTGTTCACAGAAGGATTTATTATATTTTTGAGCAATAAAAACACCCATAATTAATAAATGCTAGATATGTTAAAAGTCATACCACTGAACATTCCAGGCAAAGCAATAACATTTCCACTGAGACAAACAGGTAGCAGACCCTCCACCAAAATGTTGCACAGTGCACCTTTAAGCAAAAAAGTGCTTTAATGCCATTTGATTTGTAGTTTTTATCACTCAAACACATGTAAATATTGAAAAAATTGCAAGAATAGAATAGATACACATTATTGTCCTTGTAGGGAAATCTGTCCTCTGCATTTGACCCAATATGTGCCAGTATTATAACCCTGAATATCAGTACACCCTAAAAATAAAATTTCTGTATTTATAATTCATATAGCATCAATGAAAGAAAAGGGAAAGAAAGAGGAACATTCTTTAAATAAGTGGGATGAGGGATAGGGGATACAATGGCTGGACAGGACAACCAAAGAGGGACAGGTGGTCACCCTTGATAGTATATTGAAAGGAAATTAACCTCTGGATCTACTGAGGCTGTGTCCTTGTTTATCAAGTCTTTCTGCGTGTCCAAAATCGCAAAGAAAAGTGTCTCGACCATCAACTGATAGTAACACATTATCAGCTGTGAAAAGACCAAAAAACAGAAATTTAATTATTTGAACAGTGGACTTGAATAAATAATTGAATACACACAAATTCAAAAATATAACTACAATGATACAAAAATTATGTAAAATGGATGGGATCACTTGAAACAGCAGATTAAAACCAGATTTACAGCATGATATAACTACTCGTACTGAACACCAGGTGGCGCCTAACCTCCTATTTACCTGTACTATGCTCAAGAGTTTTTAGCCTTTCCCTATAATTTCTTCAAACCAACTTGTTTTGATCTAGCAGCTATCCTCCCCCAGCTTTTTTGCTAACTGCTTCCGGCCCCCTCCCTCTTGCCTCTTCTCTCTGTCCTTCAGTCTTGTGCACATGCGCTGAAATGTGTCATGGTGAGTCACACTGTGGGAAATTCCCAGCCCTACTTTTCAGCTCAAATCTGGTTTCACAAAGCAGGTGCTACGAATCAAATCGAGACCTTATCTGTCAGAGCCGTCTCCGGCTCAAAGTTAACAGGCAGTTCAACAAGTAAAAGTCATCTGTTGTTCTGTTATCACAAATACTTCCTTTATCTATAAACATAAACTATGACAAGCTACCTGCTTGTCTCCCCGGAGATGTTATTGTTTTGTCTGGAATGTCCCAGTATGGCATCTTGCTTTTACTGAGTAACATGGGTTTTTATTAACCTAAAAACTTACTTTATTTACTGTGAGTGGGTTTGCCCCTCCACAGGTCTGACATGTAACTTGGCCCTGCCTGTGGTGTCACCTACTGTCTCTACCATCTCTCTTACAAATAAGTGTAATGCCATACTGTGGAGCATTCCAGACAATACCTCCATGGAGAGAAGCAGGCGACAGACCCTTCAGCGACAGACCCTTCACTGGAAAAGTTAGACAGTGCAACTTTGAATTACATTTTCAGGACAAATTTGTTATTACAGAATTATACTATTGAAAAATAATATGGTCACATGCCATATTATTACATATTTTTGTTTTTTTCTAATGTTGTAGAATTAGAGTAAAATAACTATATTTCAAACACACCTTTTATGTCCAGATGGGCTACTCTTTTCTTCACTAAATACTCTAAACCACAGAAGACTTGACACTGGTAATGGAGACTTAGATCCTCAGGGAGCCGTCCCCTCTCTGATATCAGCTGCCCCAAAGAGCCTGAAGAAGCAATGATTATGATGTTACAAAAATCAAGCATTTAGACAACACACCTACGGGAAAATAGGAATGGTAAGACACATTTACACACAACATTATCGAAACATGTAGTTCTTATGTAATATAAACTTGGTTTGACAATGTAAACAAATGTTTACCAGCTTTATGGTCCATGAAAAGGACAACATTGGGCCCTTCTCTGACCACTCCAAACAGCTCCACAACACGAGAGGATTTGAGGGCACTCCACGCACCCACCTCCTCACTGTTGAACCTCTTCAGAGCAATCTACAAAAATATAGTTAATAATAATTATCTGATATCTGGTGAATAATTATTGTAATGAAGAAGGAAAGGCTTTTACCTTTTTGGCTGCAAACGTGAAACCTGTGTTCACATCTTTTGCCGTATGAACCTCCCCATAGGAGCCTTCTTTGATGAAGTCTGTGAAGATGTACTCTCTCCCCTCTCTGTATTCAGAATCTACTGTCTGTATTTCCTACAGAATCAGGGGTAAAAACATATGTATTTTTTCCTATTTTTGGTAAAGTATCATTGACAGATGTTTGAGTGTTGCCTACCTCTTTGTAAAATATTATTCCCTCATTTGTATCTGAGTAAAATGTGCACTCTTCTTCTTGTTCTCTTACATCCTGCTCTAACTCTTTAAAGAATGGTCCAGCGAAACATGGGTCTCCTTGGGAAACGTTGCCCCTGAGACCTGCTAAAGCTAATGAGCAGTCTCCAATGCTGCTGGAGGAGTCTGAGTCACTCTCCTGTCTATAAGACCCCACGAATCCAGTCCAGGGAACAGCAGAGCTAATGTTGTACACAGGTTTACTGTAAAAAGAACGTGGGCTCTGTACCTCCGAGCACTCAACACTGCTACAACAAGAACTGCTCAGACCACTGCTGCAGCCAGAGAAGGAATCTTCCTGCAAACAGAAATACAGAAAAATCTGTGAATGAGAAACATGTAGCTCTGTAGGAATTAACATAACCAAACTGTACTATTTCAATATTAACAAAGTATGTGTAAACCAGTGGGTCTCAAACTGTGAAGAACTGCAGAGCTTACGTAACACCAGACCAGATTTCATTTAGAAGTATTCACATTTTTGGCCTATTTGGTTAGTCTTGCTTTAGAATTACTCAAGGCCTGCTGCAGTCCTATTTTATTTAGTGCTGTGTTAAAGTTGGTTTTAGTTCAGAGAGCTGAAGGTTATCTTGGGAGGAACCTCATGGGAAAAGTTTGAAGTCTAAATTATTTTATGAAGTGATTTGAAGGATTTGATTTGAAGTCCTTGGCGATTTAAAGTATTAATTAGAATACATGTCCTAATTTGTACCTGCATCCACGGCAGAGAGCTCCCACTCTCTTGTTCAGGGACCCCAGAGGGCACCCGCTGTCGATGTCTCTCTTCTCTCTTCTTCTCTGTTTTTTTCTTGCCTTTGCGCTTCTGCTTCTTGCGTGCTTTCTTTCTGCTGTTGCTTTGAGCTGGGGACCTGCTCAGATCCTGGATGGACGCAGGAGCTGGAGAGGCTACATTGTTTGGCTCAGAAGAATGGCTAAAATTAATAGAGAAACCGAAAGTATCCATTAATTTACTGTAGAAAGAGTTACATATCATTAGCCTCATAGCATAATTGCACAAGATGAAGCTGTGGCTTAAAGGTGCACTGTGTAACTTTTCTGTATGCAAATGTTATTGCTTTGTCTGGAATGTTTCACAGTATGGTATTAAACCTTTCCTAATCCAGACCAAGTTACAGGTCAGGTTCTCCCAGTCAGAATGCCTGTTTTTTTTAGGTATTTTTGAGCAATAAAACCAGTTTAATGTCATATTGTGAAACATTCCAAGCAGAACAATGGCATATCCATAGAAAAGCAGGTGACGGACCTTCCATCAGAAAAGCTACACAGTGCATCTGCATGACCTACCAGGGACAGGGTCTCAAGAGTAGAGTGAGACAAAAGCCCAACTTGGCAGCTATGCAGCTATGCTATGAGGCTGAGGATGTGTAGAGAAACTGAAAAAACTTCCACTTACCTGTTGGAGAAGCAGTTTGGAGATGGAACATAGCATTTTGAATAGGATGGACTGAATTCTTGAGAGTCCTGGGTTTCACCTGTACAAAAAAAGATATGGTTTAACTCAATCTGTGAGGAATCAAAATCACAATTTGAATGGACACAATTAGCAAATCCTCACACAATCCCATTATTATTGTCAGTTATATAATTTATATATTTATGCCTTATTTGACACCAGTCTCTTCTTATTTTTGCTATTTATTTTGATTTTATTATTATTACCATTTATATTTTTGTGATTTGTATTTATAATATATTGTGATGTGTGAGCTACTGCATCCAAATAATTTCCCTTGTGGATCAATAAATCTATATAAATCTCTAAATCTAAGTCTAATTGCATAAATTTTTTGAGCAATTTGTTAATCAGCGTAACACAAAGAAAAGGTTTTTAAAATAAAATCACAATTATCTATTTCCCCAATTTGTTAAAAGAACTTACATTCAGCCTGAGCGATGAAGCTGGAGGTCTTCAGTGGCCCCTCTCCTATCTGCTCGGCGGTCCCATACGTCCACAGTCTTCTCAGTAAAGGGTTGTATTTGATCAGGTTCATTTTGTTGTTGTTTCCATCTTCATCCTCGTCTTCTGTATCCTGCTCTGAAGCTGTACAGACTGGAAATGACCCCTTCAGCTCCACCTGGGACGTCCCAGAAAAGGGGGACGTGGAGTTGAAAATCCTCTGCCTCACCGCCATTTCATTTATTGGACCTGAAAGACAAGAAATACATGATTAACTAGACCTGTCAAGATAACACAATTTGAAATGCGATATGCTGATGAATCCAATCCAATCAATTTTATTTCTATAGCACATTCTATAAACAAAGACTGTTTCCAAATTGTTGCACATAGAAAAATAAAAATCTACAATTTAATACAATAAAAACATAATTATAAAAACAACAGTGCAAAAACAAATAAATAAAACCATAAAATAGGAAATATAGACGATAAATGATAATACTGAAACTAATTTATGACACTGACACAACAAGAGCAGATTTATACCACAAAAACTAATCTATATCATACCAATATTGTTAAAAAAAAACATATCTGTAATGAGTCATAGAAGTTATTAATTCAACCTTTAACAGTTTAAATGTTATCATACAGAACAAATATAGCCACAAATTTCCCACTAGTGCAAAGAAACTGTACACACAATAAATACTGACCCCAAAAAAGACTCTTACATCTTTCATATATTGAACGATAAGTTGATATAGAAATTATCGTGACAGGCCTATGATTGACTCTTTAATCCTTTTTATCATAAGTATAAAGTAAAGTATTTCTACACTTGGGTAATTTAACATTTTCTTGAACTTCTTCTTTCCTTGAACCTCAACCAAGATAATTACAGACACATTTTTACATATTTCTAATGTATTGTAAAAATATAATCTGAACATTCATCAGTACTACAAAGGCCATTTTTGTCAATATCGCCCACTCCTAGTTTTGAGCAGCTGTAAGTAGTTCCTCTACATTGTACAACAGTGAAAAATATGCAGCGCTGCAGTTTCAGTGTTGCTTCGCGTGTGAACATCCCGGATAGAAACGCTTGATAAGGAAATCTGCGTATTGTTTCCTGGTAGACTAAAAAGAATTGTTATTAGGCCTGTTACGATAATATCTATAGTGACTATATTGTTGTTCAATATATCAAAGCTGGAACAATATATTTTGGGGCTCAATATTCATCATGTGTACATTTTCTTTGTAAAAGTGGAAACATCTGGAGTATTTTTGTTGTGATGCAATAGGATTTGAGCTGTAGAGAGTTGAATAACTTACTTTTATGGCTAATTATTGTTTTATTTTAATATTTATTTGTTGCAGCTTAGGCCTTTTGAATGATATTGACTCTTTAAAAATGGTTTACTGGGATTATATTGCATTACTGTTATTGTGTGAGTGGCAAAAAGTAGTTTCACAGAATATCTCCGTAATAATATATCAATGCAGTGCATTGACAGCCAGACTTTAATTCAGAATCAGGTATTGTGGCATTGCAAGGAAGAAAATTCTGTTGAAAAGTTGAATTCACTTAATATTGCTTGTGTAATATACAGCTGTAATGTACAGCTTTAGTTACAACAACATATTTTTATAATACTGTGTTACAGTGGGTACATTTACATGAACAGTTAAAGTCAGGCAACAAGAATAATCAGATAACCGAATGATTGTATCTGATTTTTGGAGTGAGGCTGCATTCACACAAAAAAAATTGGTGAAATGTGTCAGTTAATCAGTGTATTTATAGTGTAACTGTTGTATTTGCAAAATGAAGTACAATTAACTTAAACAGTTTCCATCTTTAAACAGATGTGAACAATCATGTCACATCAGATGTAGCTTGTTCATGACATTTATAATCTGATAAATTCAGAAATCAGATAACGATTAGACTTTTGTTGCACATGTAAACAACCAGTGCAATTTTATAGATACAGCAAAATTTTCAAACTTTCAAACACACATTTGACATTTTAATCCTCCCATTTGGTAAAAATTAAGTTATTCATGTGTTTGGTGTTTAGCCCAACTTCATGTGAAACTCTGCGGTGCGCTACAGACAGGAAACTGAACCATGGCGTTGTTATGACAGTTGCAAAAGCGGCAGTTAGACACACTCAACAGCCTCTTTTTTCAGGTAATAAAATACAGAAGTAAGGCGTCCCCCAAACACTCAAGCATTTACAGTCGGTTGCATCAGTTTGACATTTGACCACCACTTCCTCCCGGCTTTCCCGATCCCCTTACACATGTTCTTGATATACAATAGTCTGCAAGTTAAAGTTCAAGGCGCTCACAGCGAGATTATTGGGCCTGCAAATCAGAAATCACATGGCAGCAAGGAATAGCTCAGTGTTGTTTATTGTTGCACCATGAGGTTCACAAATAAAGCAGCTGTACTTTACTTTATAGCACAGTAATAGCATGGTAATAGATGTGAATAGACTAGAATAGACTATGAATAGCATGGGCTAAGAAAGGGTAACTGCCATGCCTCAGTATTATTAGATACCGCCTTCTGTCAATTTACAGTCTTTACATAATAGGATTAATATTATTACCAGAAAATAAAGTAGTACCATAAATAACTCTTTAAAGGTCCTATATTATGCTAAACTGACACTTCTGAGGTTTAAGCCATGTTACAATGTTGCTACCTCCTCAAAAACAAATTGAGTTGTATTTTTTAATATTCACAAATGTCTGAATAACCCTTTATCATTAGTCTGTCTACATCCAGTAGAGATTGCAGAGCTGATATCATCCAAATGATTCTAGTGAAGGTGTATGAAGTTTAAAAACACAATGGAGCACTTTCTGTATTATCACATCACAAGGTGAAATGTTTTCTGTTTGAGAGGTGAATCCAGCCTAAATATGCAGGGTTTGTATGTTAAACATGTGTGAATGAAATGAAATAAAAGACAATTGCAGTTATGTTTTAATAGGTAAACAACATTCTAACATACATCAGAAAATAATGCAATATGGACCCTTTGAAAACTCCAATTGTAATCTGGCCTTTGTTCAGGTTCACCTGCGCTCTCTGGTCTTCTTCTGTCAAGCCTAAGATGGCGCACTGTCAGACTGCAGTAACATAGATAGCATCTAGTGGTGATATCTGAGAATGCAATCAAGCCAGGTTGGCCTATCTAATTACAAATACTATTACTATTACTGTGCTATAAAGATTAGATTTGGTTAGTTTATTTGCCATTTGTAGTTACAAACAACATTGGAAAAACATCTTCCAAAGCTCAAAGTGCATCATGTGTCAGCCCTTATCACCACCTTCACATTCTGATATTTTGCACTAAGACACCACACCCTAATTGAAATAATGTGAAAAAGACACAAACAATCATTAGATTAGCAACTTGTCTTTGTAGCTTACCACATAGGCTATGCATGCTGTTTTTTCATGTCCATCCAGTATCTCTGAGTGTTGTCTTTAAAATCTGAAGTCTACATTTGATTCAAAGGTGTTGTGCTGTTTTCCTCGACCTGTTTCTCTGCGGTATAACTTCCTGGCTCAGTGGTTAGATACTGCTGTGTGTGTGTGTGTTTGATGCTGGCATTCAGCCAGTTAGGGAGGAGTGGCCAACATGACTTATGGGAAATGCATCTCCACTTCCCCCTCATCCTCCCTCCCTTCAATAAGGCCAGATAGCTTTCAGTTTTCCATCCAAATATATTCAAATACAGCACTCATTTTGTTACATTAGATGACAAGGTAGATTAATACTTAAATACAAGGTCAAAATTATGTTATGTAGTTAAGTTTTATTTGCAGACTATACATTTGTTTTGTTAGTTATTATCAGTATAGGTGGGCGATATTATCTACCAGATTATATTTTCACTCCACCAGTATCCATCTCTGTATATAATTTGTTCTCCAAATTTATTTTCTTAATCGTGATGCATGTAGTATTCGGCAGCAGTGCATAATCATTTTGGTCAAAAATGCTGGCTAGCGTGATCTGCAGCTATCCATCGGAGAAGCCAACTCTTTGTTGTGATGATGTTTATGGCAACGTTGGCTCCCACTGGGCAACACAGCTTTGTAACGCAGAAGTCAGCTAACTTGTTTCTTTTATTAAGTCATTTTAGATTAATATTGTGATTGTCCAACATGTAACATAATGATCCATGGGCGTCACAGATTATAACTATATAGCAGACACAAGCACAATGTCTTCTTTAAGTTTTAGTTGGCTATTTAAACTCCCAAGTAAACATTTACAGGAATTATTTAAGCGCATTTCTCAAGGATTGCAAAAATATAACTGATTATGGTTATTGAGAGAATTAAAAAAGATTGTGATACCTGAACCTGAAACAAAATGTGTGTTGGCATTTGGGTCAGATTAAGTTCAATTTTACACAACCTTTACCATTGACATGGTTAGTGGTTTATGACCTTTCAGAGCTGATGGTTTAAACTTTAAAATCTATGTTTGAAAATATGTCAAAGCACATCCACTGCAGTAAACAAATCACCAGGCATAACCAATGTAACAAATTTACATAGGACTGTGATATATATGTGAATATATCAGATGAAACGATGTTAAAAAAAAAAAAAAAAGGAGAGGAAAATTTTGTTAAAATTGTGTAAAAATGTCACTTAGATAGATTTTAATGACTAATTATATAGATTTTTAAAATGGGTTTTATCAAACTCGTAACACTACACCATTTTAGATCATACATAATGCAACTGAACTTTTAACAATTCATAGTTACAGTAGTCTACTTCTATTATCAGTCTTATTTAGCAATATCATTATTCAAATTGCTCAGTTAAAATATTCAACAGTGAACTAAATAGTATCACTATTACATGTGTGGTGACAGGCTGCTAAAGGTGGGATAAAACACTATTTCCACTACAAGATGAGACATCACACAAGTCCACAAGAACAATATAACACATATAATAATAAGAAATAAATTGCTTATTTCATTTCTGGTCTCACCATTTTATCTTTATTTAATATGTATACTGCTTTTAGAAACTAAAGCTTACCAATAAATCTAACTCAGCAGCAGTTAACCCCCTTTTTGCTCAATTAAAATGTAAACACATGGGAAAAAAATCTCACGAGATAATTTTTCTCATGTGTGCACAATCTTGAGGCCATTTTGTCTTGTGAAAGCTTGTAGCACAAGATCTTGTCCCGTTCCAACTCACGGTCACACGTAAACATAAAGTCAAGGCTGCACATTCAGATGGGGCTATATTGAGCCGACTCTGACCATACACCCACACAGATTAATGAAATTCCAATGTCTTTAGTAAGGGCTGCGCAAGGGGACTTGACCTGCAGACTGCTACAACATAGACTTATTCATAAAAAGAAACATGCAGAAGAATATTGCAATGTAATAATCTAATCTACTGAATCGTTTGTTCTAGTAGACAAGAGCATACTGATCTCCTGTGTTAAATCATTTGCATATATTTCTGGCAAAACTTGAATGTACTGCCTCTTTCCAAATTCATTTTTTGTGGCTGTGGGACCTCTACAAAAAGTCAAAGTAAGTGGACTGTAAGCACATACTGTTCTATACATAATTTAAAATGATAAAAATTGGTTTGATAAAACTATTAAAAGAAGAAATAAATCTGTGGGAAACGCTGAAATAAATGTCGCTTTCTCGAGAGAAAAGGCCTTGTGTCTGTTTGTAATACAGAGAAAGGTATTTCTTTGTGCAAAGTAGAGAGGACATTGGGACTGACAGAGCAGCTAGGTTCTTATTTAAAGATGGACTGATGCCAGGTGTAAAGTGAATGCAGACCCAGACTTTGACTTATGGCCAACAAGGTCCACTACTTTCATGCAGCATGAACCATTGGTAAGGGTTAATTCCCAGTTAATAAAGCTTTTGAGGCATCATCGTAATTCTAATTAAATATACGACTGCCAAACGACATTGTACATTGTATAGATCTTCTTCTTTTTTTACCACGATTATCCGGTGGAGGCCTATTCTACCCGCCCTATCTTATCATTTACCATTAACATGGTGATGATGTTACCAATGTTGCATGTAAAAACCAAATTACTTCTATCTTTCTAATTTCTATAGTTACAGTACCTTGCCCTATAATGTAAAATACATAGGCTATAGTTAAGCATGAATGCAATGGGACACAATAATGTGCATACTTTTGATTGTTTAACTTAAATGTTTAGATAATATGAAGGCCTATAACGGATACGGATCTATAATATGGATTAGGTACAATAGATTTCACACCGACAGCTATTGTAGTAAGGAGATAAGCAAAAGTGTGATAAAGTGTGTTTACAATTGCGTTGGGCCCGCTTACATTCAAGTCTACTTCCTCTTCTAGCATCTACATGGAGCGCCATTTCTTCTACAACTAAAAACCTCGTCGTCTTTGCCAATCTTTGACAACACACGAAAAAACAAGCTAAAAAGCAGTCATATGTTACATCAACCAAAACACACGGGTCCGTAAATGTCTTTAGTTGAAATGCAGATTAATATTAGGGTTATATAGAAGTTTCTCACCTTGTACCGCGCTCCCAATTAGAAGACGTCGGATGGATTCATCTGTCAAAGTAGCCAAGTGCGCAATGGCTGCATCCGCCACAATAAAGTTACGCAGGAAGTTGGGTGTTACTTTGTGTGAGTTACAAACTAAAATCAGACGATTGCATACGTTAAAAGAAGGAATGATAGGTAATTAAACTCGTACTCATGATCAAAGTAGGCAGATATGGAAGAAAAGAAGAAAACATATGCAACATATACACTTTTTCAGATTACGCACGACATTACGCAGACCTACCACCGGATGGCGCCATAAACCCATAATAGATCCAAGTATGAACTACAGAAAATGGTTCATGGGGAATATAAAGTATAATATACGAAAATCTAAGGGAGCCAAGTAATAAAGACTGATGTTTATACATAAATCGTGTAAAAAATAATAATAATAAAGCTTGCGTTACTTAAAATCCTCAAATAGGGGCAAAAGTGATTTACAACTGGATTAGATTTTTTAAGTAGACCATTATAACAGGAAGGAATGATCAGAATCAGGAATAAATGATGGCAATTGAAAGTGTCCAACATTCACAAACTGGTATCGTAATTTAACTGAACGTTGTTATACATCCTAAAACGATGAATAATAGTATGATCAAATAAAGGCAGGCATTAAAAAGTGGAGATTTGTCAGTATGGTAGAGTAATTGTTATTATATTGCAAGCTTGCTTTATCCTATGTTTTGTAAAGATAATGGTCCATTCGTGATTGAGCTTGTGTCCAGCGGTCTCTAGGGGGAAGGTGGATCTGTGCAGGCAGCCGAGTGTGTGGCTCAGAGCGCTGCTGTCAGAGGAACAGACGGAGCGAGCAGAGAGAAGCTGCTGCCTTCAGAAAATGGCCGACAGATTTTCTAGATTCAACGAAGAACGTGATTTCCAGGTAATGGATGCACTCTAACCCGTGTGAGGTCATTTTTGTGGTGCCTCGTTGTGATCGTGCAATGTGTAATCTTTATGGTTTGCTTTATTTGGCTCCGCTTTTGGCTGTGCCTGTGAGGTGCGTGCTACTGCTGCAAGCTAACTCGGCTAGTGCTAACGGAGAGGGCTAGTTCACTGCGACTCTGAATTTACTTCCCTATGATGCTCAGTTTTGCGGTACTAGACTGCTGTAGTATGCAGTAAACAGTGAGGTACATACGCGTTTGAAGAACTCTATCTCAAATGATCGCAATAAAACGATGTCCCACTGGAGATAAGTAATGGTGACCTTGGTTATTTATCGACTTGCGCTAATGTTGGATGCTAGCTCTCCGTATACACAGTTGGAAGCGATTTGGAACAACAACAATGAAGTCTCTTGTAATATCACTGTATGGCTGAACGAAAATAAAAGTTTGGATCGTGCACAAGACGTAAAAATACGGCTAACTAGTTTGTATTTACCTTGTGTTTTAGTTGTGGTGCCATTTTTCATAATATCCATAGAGAATTCTCTCGCCCAAAATGATTTATTCATATTCAGCAAACCCTGGTATGTCTTTTATTCACTGATAACTGATGCTGTTGTGTTTTATATTTTTTATATTGTTATAGCAAGTGGTTTTCAAGGACTTTAGAAATGTACCTTTTCTTTCTCATCAGCACCACAGCAGACACACGTCTTGCCAAATGCACTTGTTTTACGTGTTATGTTTTTCTTAACCGCACCCAGTTTGTCAAGTAAAAAAAATAAACACCTCTTATAGCTCGTTTTTTTATGTGTGTTTTTGTAGTATACATGTGTTACAAATCCTTGAAATATTATACAATTATTCAAACTGTATTCAAACTTTTGTACTTGACAAAGTTTACCTCAGGTGAGTTATTTTAACATAGTCCAACCGGTTTTTGATTCCTCGAAATGTTTTGGTCTTTGACATTAAGTTAATTGCTACGCTGTTGCATGTTGTGTATTACGTATTTGTACAACAGTCTCTGTTTGTGATAATAACTTTTTAATATTTCGGTGCATCTTACTTTAGAAAATACTTGATTAACCGATTTCAAATCAGTGGTATTTTTAGTGGGGCAGATGCCTGTTAACTTTGCTTAATTTTGTATAGCAAGCATCAAAGGTAAAAATAGGGCACTTGGTTATTCTTACAAATTGGCCCATATTCAAAAGCAAGTCCATTAGAAGATAGTCTGACTAGTGACTGACTAGTATTAATATTCCTAAAGCCAGAATACACCCTCAGACTGTTGACCTAACCCCTACAGAGCAGAGCAAACGGTTCAATGTCCATGTCCTCTGTGACTTTGCCAACACAACGTTTGGGCCCCATAAGGTTTTTTGCTCTAAAATGTCAGCTGTCTCAAGTCTGCTTAATATCAGTAGGCACCATCATATCAGCATTGCACTTCTGTTGTGAGCTCCCCATTCAAAGAATTTTGAAAAGATTAGACTTTCTGTTACAATAAAAAAGTTTACACAAAGATAAATTATTTGACAGCAGCCGCATTAATGTGTATTATATTGCAGTAGTGATTACAACAGTGTTTTCTTGGTTGCACTGTTGAGTTTTGGTTATAGATTACAAGACCTTGGCAAGTGTTAATGTTACATAAATAAATAAATAAAACAAGAAAACTAGACTACATGAAACTACAGAAAAGTTAGGTGCATGAATATGGGCTATAAACCAGGACTAAACAAGGTCTAGAACAGGTCTAAACTAGATACCAAGTCATATGAGGTCTGAACTCAATTAAGTACTTTCACTTGAAGTTTTCCCTGATACCATGTAAGGCAGCTGTAGACATCGGGACGAGGAGGAAGGGGGTCATAAATAAATCCTCTGCTCTCCCACAGCGGCCGCCATTCCCATAAAATCCCATAAATTCCCATAATCCTCAGCTTCACTCATTCTGATGCTGACTCCCATTCCAACTGAATTAATGACTTCCAGTGTGGCATCAAATCACCT